CACCCAAAGGTGGAACGTTTGCAGCTGAAATTCACCGGTGTTTTTCTTCTGTTATAATCTCTTATATACTGTAATCATATATATATATACACAAGTATATAGTATATATATATACACAAGTATATATAATATACACACAAGTATATATATAATATACACACAAGTATATATATATATCATATATATATATATAATATAATATAATATAATATATAATATATAATATATAATATATACTATAATATATATATATAATATAATATAGCTGGAGGGCATACCAATTTCCTTTTCTTCCATCTCTCGGCCTTTAATCCGGCACCGTCGGCACCCTCAGCACTCCAAGCACTCCAGAGCGAGACCACTGCGCCGATTCCGTCTCGTCTACCCCTTGCTGCAGGGACCTGGAGAGTGGAGAAACTCATGGTGGGTCCTGAGTTGGGTGAGTTTCCCTTGGCCAGCAAGATGGATGGGAAGCCGGTGCTGCTCACCATCAAGGAAGGGGCATGGCTTTGTGGAGGGGACTTTTACTTTTTCGTGGTGGCACGTGGTGGTTTTTTGGTCACTTCAAAGTCAAAAGCTCTAGGATTCTGGTGGAAAATTGTAGGGTGACCTGCTGGAGGGATCCAATCATTTCTTCTGAGCGGAACCGAAAGCACCATCCAAACCCATCCGAAAGATCTCAGCTCCACACCCTCCCTGCCGTGACGGTCTCGAAACGGCTGACGCCCCTGCCGGTCTCGCGCGGATGTGGGCCGAATGGAGGGGAGATGGAGGGGGAAACAAAGGTGACCGACTGAAGTCGAGGACCAAGGTGAGAAGAACCGAACATCCTCTCCTGTTCTTTTGCCCATTGGTGTGTAACTGTGTGTGATGCGTGTGTATGTATTTATACCCTACGGTGAACTGAGAGGTGGAACTGAGATGGGTAGGTGTTTTTTTCTGGACAAAAGGGACGGAAGACGGCAGAACGGATTCTTTTGATCCTAGTCATCGAACATTTGTGGCCAGGAGGCTGAAGACAAGAAGTTCCACCTGAGTGCCAAAGTTGCAAACACCATCAATTTCCAGGTGGTCCTCAAGCTCCTTGCTCGATGACTTCAGAGAAGGGGATGCTTCTTCAAGCTGTGAAAGTACGACGCAAGGAGGAAACAAGATATCCAATATGTTCTTGTGCACCCAGCTACGACGTTCGATTTCAGTGACTCCCTGGACAAAATCCAGCAGTCAGAGACTGACAAAATCTATGATTTCCTGTGGCCCATGTCCACCCTCTGTGCCATTGAAACGACTGAGTCATGATGTCAATCGCGTCAACATGCTCTGGTTCCATTCATGTGGAAGCCTGAGTTGACTCATCAGGGAAGACCCTTCAGCAGCGCCCTTCGAAGCCGTCGAGGCGGGGTGCTAGGCCGCACCGTGCCGCACACACCGTCGGTGTGTGTTTGGGGGGGGTGGCGAAGAGGTGGGGTTCGGTGTAGAGACCTGGGCACAGACGCCCCGTTTTTTGATGAGTCGGATGAGCCTCGGATGATACAGGGAGGGTACGATGGATGTGCTTCTTGGTTCCTGAGGTAAGAAGGACTGTTGGTTGCCCAAGAGTTTCTGCTGCGCAATGTCTAAGGTTGTCTGGTTGTCTTGAGCTGGCCGAGAATTTTGAAACGCATGCATGGCCAAACAAACACACTCCATTGTCTCTTGTACAAGAAGGAGCGGAGCACATATGAGGCCTAGCAAACAATATCTATGAGCAGGGTTGACCTGTGGCTCGTATTGAAGATATTAAAGGGTCCCTAAAATGCTCACTTTTAGGGCGACTTAATCGCTGTTGATGGCTTTCTAAAACAGCGGCAAAGACGTCCTTGGGTACATAATCATATAGTGTTTGACATGATATCAACTGGCCCGAGCCTTCAAAGACCACTAAAGGAATGGCTGACCTGGTGGCGTAGTGTAAGAATCCTTAGGTTTTTTTAAAGACCGTAAAACATTGTTCGAATCCTCGAGACTGGATCGCCTGGGATATCGCGATAATCACACGAGAACTCCTGTCAACAGAGATGAACAGATGATCCGAGATGATTCCAAATGTGTTTCCCTGGGACTTTTTCCAAAGATGTCTACAGATGTCTACAGATATTCCAAGCTTCGATTTCCAACCAACCGCTAGCACTCAGAGCAGGTATTCGGATCATTGGGCGCTAAAACCAGGGTGTGCGCCATCTTCTGCGCCAGCGCTGTCTGGTTAGACAAGTTAGCCAACAGTGGATGGCGCAAGCCAACAGTTCTTTGTGTGTATTGGAATAGGGAGACACCCCAGAGATCTCCTTGAAGGAACATAGGCTAAAACTCAAGGCAATTGCTGAAGGGGGTCTCCCTGGGAGGTGGGACGACCACGCATCGACCGATAGCACCTTGGGACGTGGGATTCGGAGTGCTTGAGTGACAAGATGTGCACGGGCTGCTGGGCTGCTTTGCAGCAGCGCGACTTCTCGTGAATGAAGAACCCTGCATCCTTTTTTTTCAGCTCTTTTTCTGAAGGGTAGAGCACCTGCATTCGTCCAAAACCGGGATCGCGCAAGCTTGCAGGTCGCCGGCGGCATGTCCACCATGATGATGGGCACGCCCGGCGAAATGGAGGCCATTTCGCGGTGTGTATCGCGCCGTGGGGAGTCCAGTGTCCATTTTTGTGTTTTTGGCAAACCCTACTGGTAGTCACGAGATGTAACAAGAAGCTACTAGGTTGGAGGCCATCGCTATTAGGTTGGAGGCCATCGCTACTAGTAACAAGCTGCTTTATAGGTTGGAGGCCATTGCTACTAGCAACAAGAAGCTACGAGGTTGGAGGCCACCCCTATTTGGTTGGAGGCCATCGCTACTAGAAGCTACTAGGTTGGAGGCCATGGCTACTAGTAACAAGAAGCTACTAGTAGTTCCTGGCTGTTGGAGTCCCAACGCTGTTGGATCTTTGCACCGTTCATGTTGGTGATGTGCATGAGTTCGGTCGGAGGGATGGGGGTGAGGGGTGTGGTTTTCCTTCAGGTGGAGTCGGTGCTGAAGCTCTCGGAGGTGCGAAAGTGGATCTTCAACGAGAGCCTGCTACTCCAAGGGCCCACGCTAGAGGAGAGCGGGAGGAGAGGGGAGAGATGTGGAATGGACATGGAGGACCAGTGAGTTCGAAAGGGGTTTGGATGGGATGGAATCGTTTTGTTCGCAATGCAAGACCTCCTCCCAGAGCTTTGCAGTGACTGTGACTGGGAAGGGCCAGAGGTCCAAGAGTCTTTGGAACTAGATTCAACAAAACAATGCGTGCCTTATCTCATGTCAACATTTTGTGTTAGAAAGCACAGCCAGACACCATCCGAATGACCAGTCTAGACACCTCGCATGATCTGTGGGATGATGTTTCTTCCAGCGCTGCCAGGTGTCCCTTCTGCCTGCAGTGGAAGAGATGCCGCCGGCGCGATCCCCCGCCCGGTTCACGTGCGCTCGAACCGGTCCACAGGGCAGGTTGTGAGTCGTGCCCTGTCGGTATCCTGGTGCTGTGACCCCGAGATACCCAGAGTCAAATGGGCATGTAACTAGTAGCTTCTTGTTCCTAGCAGTATGGCCAGGAGCTACTAGTAGCTTCTTGTTCCTAGTAGCGATGCCCTTGTTACTAGTAGCTTCTTGTATGTATCCTCATTGAAGGGCAGTCATGTTTTTACCTTTTGAGACGACATGTCGACGACATGAGCGGAAATGTGGACATACCTGGAGTTAATATTTCATTGTATTTCATGTGCTCAAAGATAGGCATGATGGTCCAGGTTTCACAAAAGAGTCTGCGTTTTCCACACAGCATGGTGACAATGACATAGCAAGTACATGCAAGTACAGTCAAATGGTGACGCCACTGGTTTCGCTGGTCCAAAGGTGTCTTTTGCCTCGCAGGTCAATGAGCCACTATGACCATCGAGCCAGACTTGCTTGTCACATCAACTCTTGCTGGGGAGACCGTCTGCCTGAGCTCGCCAAAACGGGGCCTTCCAGGAGCGATGCTGTGGGCGATGTTGCTTCCTATCTAGACTCCTTAGAGCTGCTGCATGTCACCTGGGCACCTCGATAAAGGCGGTGCCCCAGTGGCAGACCGGCAGCGCCAGGCGGCGCCGGGCGTGAGTTCGCGCCGCAGCATTGCTTTGACCGAGAAAAAGCCACCGTGTGGTGCGATGGCGGCCCGTGGCTCTTTCGAAATATGGTGCAATGATGTGCCATGCGAAATAGATCCACCCCATCGCTATTGCCACATCATTGCATCAATTCGGTCGATGAAAAGGGAATCCAGTTCCCCACCTGGAACTCCCAAAGCACCGCCGGAAGTTCCTCCCAAAGCACGATGGTGTGTGTTCATCGACCCCAGAGCTCTGCGCCAAGCTACCAAAGCTACCAACTTCTGCAGAATTGCTTTCGCACGATGGGTCGAAGGGGTTCAGCTGGCTGCCAGATCAGACCTCTCACCGGTGGGTCGAAGTCTCTCGGCCTAGGCCCCGCGGTCTAGGCCCCACCTATCCTCGGGGTGGGCCTATCTCGGACTGACGATGGTCCATCAGCATGAAGCTGCCAGGTGAGCAGCCAATAGGTTTATATTTTTTCTAGATTCTACCAGCTGCTTCCAAGGGGTCACCAATGGATATCTCCACACTAGTTACAGGTCTCCATTGGGCACCTCTTGGAAGCGCTAGGTATAGTTCATTATTTGTAGATTCCATGATGTTCCATGTAGAAGCTGGGAGCAGAAAGGGTCAGGCAATTTTTCAAAGTTGGACACGTTCAACGTTTGTTCTTTATATATACATATATATATATACCTTGACCTTCAAGGGGTGTCCAATGGAGGTCCCTTAGTGGTGTAGGGGCTTCCATTGGTGACCCCTTTGAAGGTGCTGGTATACACATGTTTATCAGGCTCCCATGACGATACTTGTGGCCTTGGCTGTTCTGGTTGATTTGCCGTGGCCACTGAGAACCTCCACATGACCTCCGATGCGAAGCAGCGGGTGAGCGCCTTCCTGGCGAATAAAGGCATGGCTCTGCGAACGTGGCTCTGCGGTTCCGTGGACGGGCTTTGCATGGTTCTTCATTCACTTCTGGAAGGTCTTGAGGTGGATTGCAAGGAGGTGAGTTCCGAAGTGAGTGCGGGTTAGAGTTCCCAGTGGGTCTTGAGCTAAACGTAGCTAGTAGTCAATGTAGACTCTTGAAAATTCATCAAACCACCCCACCAAGGAATTCTACCACCTTTTCATCCTGGGGGGGGGGAGGGTAGGTTGTACAACCTCAACGATCTCGTTTGCATTGGTTTGGCCTTTTCCCAGGTCTCCATCAGTGTCTCATCCCCCGAACAAGACCCCCCATCCTTTGGAGGTCCCAACGGCGTTTTCGGAGACCCGCGCCCAACGGTCCGCGAAGCCGCGCGCCCAACGGTCCGCGTGGCGCGTGGGTCAGGTACCGAGTCGCCTGACATGGTGCGGGTCCCTAGGGAGCGTGGAGGACTCCCGGAGGATGAGTCCACGGGGGCGGGGAGGCCTTTCAAAGGGGGAGGGCTGAAGGCCGCCACGGTGAGATCTCCGCGGTTTACGACTGAGGTGTTTGTTTTTGTTGTGTGTGTTTTTCTTTTTTTTCCTGAGCTGTCGAAGTTGGTTAGCGAGGAGGATGCTTGCGGTCCGTTGGGGAGGTGAAAGTTCGACCAGCGACTGTTGTGGGGCATGCACAGACCCCCAAGAGATCCTAGACGGACGACGGATGGGGGTCCATAGAAACTACCGACCTTAGTCAATTGTGCCATCTACTTTGACACCACTTAAGTCGATGGTTGATACAGGATGATGGACATGGAGGCCTAGCTTGTATGTCCTCCCATGTGTGACTTATCGCATGGGTAATCCCTTCCACTCAGTCACAAACCGATATTCATCGTCACTGGTGTTGTAGATGCCTTTGTATCGGCTGTCCAAATGAGTGTCACTAATCGATTGCTAACAACACAAACAATACAGTGTATTATTCTTTCATTGCGTGAATACTTCAGGAGGAAGGAAGCTGATTCTTCTTACCAGGTCTTTAAACAAAATCTATGAGGATCAGCCGCGATCGAATTGAGAAGAAGAATCCACTGCGCGAGGCCACTGTGGGACGGTCAATGATCACCCTCTTTTAGAACTCTATATCAGTTGCAGTAAATGGCATTGGAAGGAGGAACATCGAATGTGGTAGGTGACATAAGTGTCTTGGTAGGTGACACATGCGGAAAGGTCTGTCAATTCAGAACCTTCAAGAAACACTTTTTGCTCGTGGTGTATACCTAGCGCTTCCAAGGGGTGCCCAATGGAGACCTGTAAGTAGTGTGGAGATATCCATTCGTGACCCCTTGGAAGCAGCTGGTAGGTGACCTCCATGACTAGCTCCTTCGATGATCTTCCGTCTGGGGGCAGCTTCGTGCTTAGGCGTTGGCACCTTGAAACAAAGTACCTCGGTTTAGTACCACGTCCGATTCGCCTTGCCTCTAAATGGTCTACTAGATGGGAGGGTCGACCGGCCTATCCAACTTCCCAGTTATGATGGAACCTTCTTGTGTGGACAAACTTCTTGGGGCGCACCGGGTGTTCGCTTAATTCGTACTTGGTAATTCTCGACCGCTTCTACTACTCATTTTCATTCATTGTCCCTCCTAGCTCTCGACTCGAAATACGGTGGTCTACACACATATGTCGGACTTGAGGCCATTGACAGACTTCTACATTAGGATGTGTGTCCCATTTCCACCGACTCAGGTGGTGGGCATGTTGTCGGTCATCAAGGACGACACCAACAAGGAAATCAAAGTGGAGACGGACACCGAGGACCGAGCTGTGCATGGCGCCGAGCGGTCTCCTTCGGTGTCTACAAAAAGATACAAAAAGCACCACTCCCCAGGGGTCCACGTGCCAGCGATCCTCACATACACATATATGATAAGATACATATTATACATGATTATAACTATTTGTCATATTTCTGGCGTATGGCTCAGAACATCTTAGCAACCAACACACCAGCTGCTTTGGGCACTAGAATCACTAGACTTTTGAAGGTTCATCGCAGGCCGCAGGCCAGACCACCAGCCACCAGTTCGAAGGGCTCCCGGTCAAGCGACTCTGGGTAAATGTCCGGGTGGCCTTAGGTGGAGAATTCGCCTGAAGACCTCATTGGTCGCATCTCATGGATCGTGCGCGCGCGTCGAATGGTCTTGATCAGTCGGCGCCATGTAGATCTGATTGAACTTTCGATGTTTCTTCCTTTACTGTACAAGCCATACTCGAGTCGTTGGTCACCTGCCAAACCTCTTCCTCTCAAGTGTGCCAGTGTTGGCTCATCGGCAGCGTGTTCTTCGCTCATCAACTCAGCTCATGAAGAACTTCTTGCTCCTCTCCATGCTCCTGCTCGCTGTACACGGCCGTGGGCCGGGCGGGGGCGCCCGGCCGATGCCGTCCACCGGCGCAGGTGCAGGTGCTCCGGCTGGAGGGAGCTGTCAGAATCCCTCTTGCAGCAGCCCACCCTGTGCGGCCCCTTTACTGGGAGACTTGGAGATCAGCATTAGAGGTTAAAATGTTTTCCACGCGAACTTCATTTTATGTGCTTTACAATTGAGTTACTTGGCCAAATTCAGTGAGTGTGAAAGCTTTGCCACGTAATTAGTGATTCTTTCCCGTTCTTCTAGAATAGAAATATACTGTAACGTAGAATTTATAACCATGACCCATATCATACATATCTCATCATATCTCTCAAGCAACTTCTAAGGAGATGTTGGCTGTACCACAGTGTCTGGAACCGAGACCTACGCACATGAGCTCTTGCCTGCTGGATCCACGATCAACAGCGGAGCACACATCTTTGGACCGTTTGAGGCTGGTTTCTCGTCACAGCAGGACAATATCATCCAGACTTGGGGCTGCTCAACTCCTTCAGTTGCTGGGAAGCAAGAGTTTCTTTGTTCCACATATGTCACCTGTTTTTAGTGGTCATGGAGAGTTTGGCCTGCTCAACTGCTGTTGCTTGGACCATCTTCAAACAAAGTGGTCGGATTTGCAAAGTGGAAGCTGTTCTGAATTCTTCTGAGCTTCATCAGGTTGTTTACGACAGTGAGGGTGGGACAGACATTAGCATTGCCGAGAAGAAGGTGGCCTATGCCTGCAACATCGAGTTTCCTCGGCTTGAAGGTCCTCGCGAAAAGATCAGAATTTCAATGAATTTGAATCGTTCTTGTTTCGACTTGGGTTTACTTTACGTTGCCCGCAGGTGGCACCTACTACGGAGTGGTGGGCCCATGTGGCGGCCACACCAATGACTACCACTTCCACAGGAGCTTGAGCTGCTTGTACTCCCAGGCGGGTGGCCATTCGACCAAGGTGGGGGAAACAGCCTCCCACAGCCTCTATGGGACACCTGGGAGTGCTGAAGCTTGTTGTTGTTCTTTTGCTGCGGCTGCCCGCACGTGCGTCCGTTGTAAGGAACGGATCTAGACCGGCACGTGACCGTGTTCTTGGCTTTGTGCAGGTCCTTGCGATGTTAGTGTCGCTTGATCTCCCATGCGCACGGCAACCAAGGAAGTGGGAAGACTACGACTTGCAGCGGCTTCCCTTGCTGGACGCTTGCGGTGCCCACATTGGCCCCACACCTGAGTCCTCCACGCCGGTGTACCACTACCATGTCCAGGATCAGGCTCCATTCACGGTCGGGTGCCATGGACCCAGCCAGAGTGGTGGTTTGGTGAGTGTCGCTTTGTGTCGAAGTTTGTATTCCGACTGTGATGATGATGGTGGTAGTGGCACCACTATCACCACCAAGACAGGCAATGTGCAGTATGACCGCTTTTGCCCGTGCTTTGATGCCTCTGGCTCTAACATGGGCACCAACATTCAGGAACTGCCAGCTTTAAGCTCCAGCGAGATCTACTATTCCATTGATGCTGGTGCAACCACTGCAGCCACAACGACGGTCAACACCGATGCCACAAGTCTCACAACGACGCCTGCCACAACGACGCCTGCCACAACGACCTCGGCAGACCTCACTACAACTGCTTCCAGCAACGATGGGAGCTGTAGCCAGTCTTGTAGCTTCTTTGACCGTATGTTGAGGCGCTGCCACCCGTGCCCCCCGGCATCCCAGCCAGGCGCCAATCGCCCACCCCGCGGGACGAGGGGGGGGGCGGCGGGAGGGCCGACGCTGAGAGGCTTGCTTTGCTCCAGCTTTCTCCTCTCCCTTGGCTGAGATCCTATGGGGATTCTGGACAAGTTGGGGGCAGTGAGCATGCTTTGAGCAGTGCTGCCAGCCAAAGGCTAGAAGCTCGGAGTTTCTTAAGTGTATAGTCTCTCCATGGAGTGCCATTCTGCCCGACAGATTGGCTGAGATCAGTTCTCGTCACCCCATCGGACATTTTGCTGCTTCGCGCAACGCACTAGGAATGCTCGGATGTGGCAAGGATCCACATCTCTTAGGTCTTCCAGGCCACTGATGTTGGCTGTGACGGCTAGAGGAGCAAACCGGGACGCTGGGGCCCAGTGCACACGTTGCCGATCAGGCGAAGTCGGATGCTCATCCATACTCTGGCACGGGTGCGAGATCCTCTCCCTCATGAAAGTCAATTGCGGGTGAAACTTTAGGGTTTTAGAATCTTCTGTTCTAATTACCATTCTACCTCGTGAGGGAAGCTGACACCTGAAAAGAATCTCCCTGCTCGCTGGATTTAATGAACCAACACACAGTGGTTCTGAAATGACATAGAGTTCGATCGTGCCAGTGTTCGATCAGTTTGCAGCTTTTCTCCAGAGAACACCGACACTGCAAGAAGACGCATGGAAGATGCATGGGCAAACCATGAGTCCCGAGCCGCGCGCGACTTCCACGAGGAGAAAGCAGTGGACAACTTCCACGAGGCGAAACCACCGTCGGTCCCGTGCCGTCCGGAGAGAGTGCCCGCAGGGGGTGGTGCCCGCAGGTGCCCGCAGGCGAGCAGCGCCCAGGAGGTTTTGTGGGCGAAGATGCCAGAAGATCCCACCCTGCATGCTGAATGGATCGACCACCTGAATCGATGACCAGTGGAAGCTGACCTACCCGAAAAAGGACGGGTCAACCATGTTGGGGTGTCCCATAAAGCTCACCGAGCCTTTCCTTTCCAATATCCAGCATGCCGTTTGTGAGGTCCTGTTAGATCCTTGGCCCTAGTCTTTCTTTGGGACGGCCACGTGGAGACCTCTGGGACCGAGCTGCGGACCTGGAGCTCCCAGGTGGAAACCGCCAAGAAGACGGAGATCTCCACCCTCCTGAACACCTTCGCCTCTCGGACCCGGACGAGGCAACAATTTAAAGATCTTTTTCACAGGTAAGGATTTTATAGCACGACTTGCGGTCCCTGTCCGTCACGGCCTTTCATAGGCAGTGAATATAAGGATGTATACGCTTTTATGAGGCACTCTTAGCTGGCGCGTGCAATTTTAATCAATAATATTGTGGTATTTTGTTGTTCCAGATTGGTGAACACGATGGGATGGGTTGGACCGAGTTGGTGAGCTTTCCGATCCAATGACTCAGCGAGCTTGGCCGTTGGTCGTCCGACTTGGGCGCGGCCTCCGATGGAACAGCATCGAGCGCAGAGGTTGGACGATGCATGCGGTTCTTCCACTCCCGAAGCCTCCAACCACCAGATGTTTGAGGTCCAAATCTATGAAACATCCATCAAGATCCTGTAGAATTGGTGGGAAAAAAAAAGGGACACTGAGACACTGGAATTGGTTTCTCCTTTTGGGGGGTACTCCATCACTCATTTGGGAAACCACATACACAGTCCGATGAATCGGTCCCCTCTCAGGAACGTAAGATGAAGACCATCGGAGAGAAGCAGGCGAGTTCGTCAGCGACGAGGATTGAGTGCTGAGGACATGCCATGGATTTCGACTGTGCTGATCTGTGCGAGTTGTTGGCACGAGTCAGGCACTAACATGGATTCTCGAGACCACCAGATGTCGGCAAGCAAAACGATGGCTGAAACTTGAAAGTGATATATATATATATAACATCATATATATATATACTGTAAACCCAACGACGGACAGAGCTGGAAGACTTTCTAGTCTCAGTTGCATCAAAGAATGTTCAGAATCCTGATTACACTGGGCACTTTCTCAGATAGAAGCCGAAGCCTGGATTCATCTGGATTCTATCATTGTCCATTTGTTGGATTCCTTGTTGCGTTAGGCGGTTTTGTGAGGCTCACCACATGCACGGGAGGATGGGAGGCAGACCGCTGTGACCGCTGCGCAGGTGGAAGTGGTGAACCTGAAGCGCGAGCTAGCGGACCAGGGTGATTCCATCGCAGATGACAAGCGTCTTGGCATTTTGGCATTTCCGCAGAGATGAGATACTTGATGATATTTGGCTATATATACACATACACTATATCTTATAATTGTACAGTATATACATACACACATATGTAAGTCCAACTAAATGGCAACAACTTCCGTCAATAGATATTTGCGCGGGTATAGCTCTTCAGAGGACCTGCAGACGGCTCACAGCACCCGTGTGGGATGCCGTGCCCTCATGCCGGTGCAGCTTTCGCCGCCGGTCCGGCCGACTGAGGAAGATGCTGGCGGAGTTGAAGAAGAGCTGCACGAAGAAGGCGATGGGATTCTTGGGACCGGACGGAGAACGAGACTAGATGTGTCCACAAGTGACGACTTGTGGTGGGTGGTTGATCCGGACCCAGGAGATTCGTATATAGGAAACATCTTAGAACTTAGGAGCTTCCGACTCCTCTGGATGTGTGGAGTCGAGTCTCCAAGTTCAAAGGCGGTTTGCTTTTGCCACCTGAAGAGGTGCAAACTACTGTGCGAATGACCATCCGATCTAACATCGGCAAACATGGGGTCTGTCCGAACTGACCTGTAACAGCCAGCAAACAAGAACGTCAGTTCTTTTCTACATCACAAGGCCTGTAGTGGTCCCATCATCATCCACTAAGGCGCTGGGAGCTTAGGATAGACCCAAGACATACATTTTGGCCAGGCCACTCCCTTCCACGGCTTGGACACGTGGGTCCGAGGGTTAAGGTTTTGCATCGTTTTGCGGGGATATGACATGAGCTGTACTATACATAAACTAGAAAAACAACAACACCAAAAGACACCTGATTATTTTCTAGATATGTTTGGTATAAAAATCCAGATGTCTTATGCAAAAAGACAATCATAAGACACGGAACGATGCCTGGCTCCCTCTTTCCTTTTGTTGCCCAACGGACGGTCCGATGCCCGGCTCGCCGCCTTCATGGCCTCGGATCGATCGATCGAAACGAGGCGGCAAAAACGGATGAAAGCGACCCGCTGAAGCGGTTCACGGCAGCATGTATGATGATGTATGCAGAGGCTTCTGCAAAAAGTATGTAGAGGTGCCCCTTTGATTTCGTCTGCTTGGTCTGAGCAGGAGCCATTTGGAAGGCCATCTAAGTCGCCTGTGCCCTCGCAATTGATTGTAGATTAATGGAAATTCCTTCCCAAAATTGAGCAAGGCCCATTCATTTTGTCCCCCCCCATCCAGTCCTGGAAATACCACCCTTCACATCCCTTCACCGCTCCTCTTGCTGCGGAGTAAGAACTCACGCTTCAGAAAGTCACGGTCTCCTCGCGTCTGCTCGCCCCATGGTGCCATGTCCGCGCCGCCCAATTGGCGTGGCGAGTTCCGCGGCTTCGACGAGGGCGCGGCCGGAGGCGCCTCCGCCGCGGCGGCGAGCTCCGCGGGCTCCGATGCGGCGCGAGAGGAGCTGGAGAGACTTGGACCGGCTCCGTGGGGGTCGTTTCGGGTCGGGGGGGGTCGGGGTGAGGACCGGAGCTGGATTCAAGACGTGAAGGATGAACGTACTTCCACTGGTCATTAAGTCAAGTACTTGCAGCAGCGAGTGTAGGATCAGGAGATGATAAGCTTGGTGGACTTATTATAGTATATAGGTTTTGTTTTTTAATAACTGTTTTTTATTCTTTTTCGGTTTCTCTTGTACTGTAGGGGTGAACCTAGATGGTATAGCAGTATAATAACAACACGTAACCAACCTTTACAGTTTTCCTTTATGCCATGTCACTGTACCAAGTGCATGACTTTCTATTCTAAAATGTCCGAGTGCAGCTTTTGCCTCAGCACCAAGAAGAGCGGCGGACACAGCAAAACAGGGAGTGTGCTACAAACTGCCGTTTCCAGCCATTTTTTGTTGGCTGCTCCTGTTATTCATCATACCTGGACCATCCTCCAGGGTGTGACTAACTGCAAAAAAACGGATCGTAGTGCAGGGTAGTCAGGGTAGTGTACACCCAAGACAGGATGGTCCAGGTCGGTTCTCCTTTGATCGCCCCTTTCGGCGCGGGACGCTGAGGACGCGGTCCTCGGGCAAGTTTCAGCATCCGGACAAGGATAAGGAGAGACGGTTTGGGTCGGAAGTGGCCCCAACTGGGACGGTTGGGGTCGGAAGGTCTGGGCGTTCTGCACCTGAAAGTCCGGTCCGGACCGGACGGGTTCAGTTTGATCCGGGAAGGATCCCAAATCCATCCAAGTGACGTCCGATTCCTATAGAAACACATCTAAACACCATGGTTCAGATAACATGGAGAAAGATACAGACAAACTCAACTTCAGTTTCGCAGCGTTTCGCTCTTCGATCAGAGACACCCCAGCACCAACCATCGGCTGCAGGAGTGGGAAGGCTGGCAGGGCGGGCTGGGCAGGGCACGGAACAAGAAGCTACTAGGAACAAGGGCATCGCTACTAGGAGCAAGGACGCTACTAGTAGCTCCTGGCCTTACTACTAGGGACACCCCGAAATCAATGGGAGTAAAGTCAATGTAAATTGCACCCCCCCGTGCCGTTGATGTGAATGGTTTCTGGTCAATATGGTGTCATTTTCCTCCCTCTACACAAATTGCACAGAAAAACCCTTTCTATGTTTTTTGTATCTTTTTGTACGCTTTATGTCGGCAACAGGGGGCAATCATACTCTATCAGAATCTTGGAGAAGAGCTCGTCGTTTTTGTGGGCCGAGCTCGGGATGGATTTCAGCTCGTTGGCCTCTTCAAGTTTCCGTTTCGATTTCCCCGTTGAACCCGCTCCGTCTACATCCCAGCTCCGTCTATGTTTGGACGGGGAGAGACACACTGACACAGTCACTGAGTACCAGGATCCGGATCTTTCCTTTTTGTACCCGATACTCGGAAGCCCAGCACCCCTTAGAGAATTCTAGGGCTTAGAGGGTAACTAGCTTCTGAGCTCCATTGCGATGTCCTTGGCTACCTCGTTTGGTGATGTTTTTTCTTTTGGATGTCACCCTACAAGGCGACCCTACACGCTTCAGCTGTTTGCTGTGTCTTGGTGACAAAGCTTTTGCGCTGGGACTCCTTTGCCATGTCAACGAGAGACAGCCCCCCTCCTTGGCCTCATACTGCAAACGATCCTTAAGTGGAGATTCCCATGCCGCAAGAAAAGGAAAGTCGGCCGATGCAAAAGGCAAAAATCATATAGGCTTAAAGTTTAAAGAGGCTTCAACGAATCAGCCCACACGAATCAGACATGCGTTTTGGGGCATTTTTTTTAAACGTGAGACTCCTTGGGGTTCTCCCCAGGACTAGGACACAACGATTCATCCTTGAGCACTACCTGTCTGGCAGATGGAATGACCAAACTGACCCTTTCGAATCTTCCAGTCGGCGCAAGGACTGACATGAGCCATCCTAAGTCCTCGGATCACCCGCATCAAATGGATTGGGTCATGGATTTGCAGCGATCGCCAAATGGATCATCATATGTGTATTATATATATATGTATTGACAATATGTATATATGGACATATCTATCTGTCTGTCTGTCTGTCTGTCTGCCTGCCTGCCTGCCTGCCTGCCTGTCTGTCTGTCCTGTCTGTCTGTCCTGTCTGTCTGTCCTGTCTGTCTGTCTGTCTGTCTACTGTATCTATCTATCTATCTATCTATCTATCTATATCCGGAATGGGGCTGAAATCATCCCCAAACCGCGCAGGTTTAGGTCTTCATTTTGGTTCTCCAATGTTGGGATCAATGGGAGACATCTTGAATCTCTGAGGACTATTCGTCATGGCACCGGCCGGGAGCAGCGCTATGGGCCTCGCTACCGGGTGCGATCCGGCCGGTGAAATCGCGTTGGATTTGCTGTGGGAACGAGCAGTTGTACATCCAGAAACACACATGTGTGCTTGCACGTCCTTTCAGCCGTGGTTCCATATTCCTGTTTTCCAAACACCTCATTCATAATGGAGTAGGAACCCACTCATAGCCTAAGACATTAGACAACACCTCTTGCGTATACGACCTATCTTACTATATATTGATAACCCCCCCAACTCATCAAGCAATGCGCTGAAGTCGGTCTAGAATTTCAGGCATATGTTCATAGATGTTCGAGATCATGTCTTCATTCCTCCAGAAAGCAGGGTGTCCACGGACACCGCTCAGTTCCGAAGGCCTCTCCGGTGTTTTGGGCCAAACCGGTCCTGCGCCCGAAGCTGTCCGCCAGATGCTCTCCTGTGGGTACAACATCGACGGCACCCAGATTTGCACCGCCTCGGAGGACCGGTGGTTGGGCGCCGAAGTCAAACCGTCCGACGTCAAAGCGGGGTCTTTTTTTGAGGTCCAACTGACCGGTAGGTAGGGGATTCTTCGGTGTTCTGAGTTGATTGGCCTTCTCAACACCTTTGGGGTGGTGGACCTGGGGGTGTGTCTGGGGTGGAAGTCCTATGGCAGTCCCATGGAGTGGGTGGCCGCGAGGGTGGCGGGTTCAGTGGCGGTTTCAGTGGCAGTCTGCAGTCGCGACCTTGCTGGAACAGATACCGAGAATTATGGAGAACCATGGAGAAGCCGAGCTGGCCAGACATTTTCAAACAAAAACCGCGCATGAGGTTGGACTTGTCTACGCACCAGGAAGGACCCTTCTTTAGGTTTAAATGATCTGTTTGTGCATGTGTGTGCCTCAGCTCAGCTATTTCAAGCTCTGAAGTGAATGGGTTTGACCGTCAGGGTACCGCTGCGAAGGTGATTGTTCCACGTCGCCCGCAGGACAAAACCTGCCGGATCTATGACCGCGTCAGCCAGAAGCAGCTGCTTGGGACATGATCCAGTCGTCTCCTCCAACGACATGAAACGACACCTCGGAAAGAAGCTTTGTGGCCTGTTCTTGATAGTAGAAGATTCATCATTACCCGGAAATTGGTCAACTTTGTACAGACAAACCGTCGCCCCCTGTCATAGAAGTAGGTCCCCACAAAACATGTATTGAACACCGTGCCACTATCTATTTGGGGACTTTGGGGAAACACTCTATGGGGACTTTGGCTCGCGTCGAAGTTCAGTTCTGCTTGTGTGTTGACCTATTGGCAGCTGACCGATTCGCTGCTGCGCTTCGAGGGAAAGAGACATGCATCAGCGATCAGGACATGAATAGCTGAATGGACATTTCATGCGGTTAAAAGCAGGAGAACAACATGAAAAGAGTACATGCATCCAAGTAAGAAAGGCCAGTAGGTTGGAAAGGCATGATGCAGGTCAACAGCAACACAACGCCCATCTAACCCCCGAACCGCAGCGGAGCCCGCTGCGCAATGGGTTCTCTTTTTGCTTGGCAATGTTTCATCCTCGTTGCATCTCTTGTGC